TTTTGACAACTACAAATAAAGTTGCTATAAAGATCCATATGTATGTGGTACATATAACATACCAAATAAGTGTTAATCAACTGTTATGTTATCACTAACTGTTATGTTATCACTAAGGCTTCTGGCCAACAGTAGGCTATTAGTAGTTAAGTTTTGTGGGAGTCATAGTTATGCAAGGATTTTTTATTATGCTGAGTGTTAATGCCCGAACCCTCATATTATTCAAAGGTCAACTGTACTTTAGAAGCCAGTCTGTGCTTTCTAGTCACCCACCCTTTTACTTTTATCCAGTTTGTTTTTACTGTAGCATTTGCATTAATCAGCATTACATTCTACAGTCTTTATTTGTTTTCTTTTTACCCAGTGAGAATATATATATATATATATATATATATATATATATATATATACCATGAAGGTAAGATTTTGACTGTTTTCTTCTGCTGTATCTTTAGCACATAAAGCAAGGCCAATACATTGCAGGTCTCCAATAAGTATTTGTTGAGTAAGTAGCTGGATAAATGAATAGAATAGTTACATTGTCTCCACTGAGATACACACCAGATTTGTTTAATCAATCCTCTATTAATAGATATTTGAGTTGTTTCTGGATTTTCAGGATTATGTGGATTCTCTATTGGTAAGTACGCTAGATTATTCTGGTGGGGATCGTGGCTGCCTCCTTAACATCCAATCCTTCTTTTCTTGGTAACTCTCCTTATAACTACTCAGTTAATCAAACATATATCAAATAGGCCAAATATCTTGCAGAATAAAAAGTCCACACTTTGCCCCGATGGTATGCCTTGTCACTTAATTGTAAATTAATCAACATAATCCCATTAGATTATTGGCTCAGGTTTGTGCAAGTGACCAAATTCAGTTAAAGACACACAATATAATGTCTGCCAGGGGCATCTGGGAAAGAAGCTTTCTAGATCTGCTGGGAACAACTTTATCTCTTTCCCTGGATACAGACAAAGGAGAGCAGGGCTCCAATGGCCATTTTGATCACAAGGCTTTATCCCTAGGAAAAACTGGCAGTAATGACAGTAAATGACAGTAATGCACAGGGCAAAGCCAGGAATAAATTGGTCCTTGACATTTTTGAATTGCTGAATCAAAACAATCATGAAGCCTTTCCCATTTCTAAGCTTCTATTAGTATAGTTTTAAAGACCACGTGAGTTGGATATTGTATTCCTTGCAACGAATAACTTCTGAATGCTACATTCCCGTTTATACTTTGTTTTTGTTTTTTATAAGCATATTTTAATAGGATAGAGTCCTAGACATGATTTTGTTGGGTCAAAGTGCATACAGATTTTACATTTTAATATACAGTTACAAATTACAAAGAGTTAGATTTTAAAAAGACAAGAGGTAGAAAGTGACGAGAGGCTGAAAAGGGACTATTGAATGATATCAAGAAATAGGACTTGTTTGTTTTTCTTCATACTTTTCTTTGGGCCTGACCTGATCTCTCATCTTTTGTGTATCTCACTGAGCCTGTGGCTTCTCTGAATCTGCCCTCTACTTGTGGTGAGGTGGGTAGGTGTATATTGATGGTGGTGATGGAGTAGAATAAAAAGCATTTCAGAGGAAATAGGAGAATCTTTAAGCTCATTTGTTTCTGGTGAGAAGCCTGAGATGTTTAATTAAGATAGATCTAAAGCTACCCATTTTAATAAAGAGGAGTTAAATATGAAATTAATTTAGGCTGTATGAAAACATAAAAGCAATTTGATGAGAACCATGGAAATAAGACAGAACAGCTTAGTTATGACCAAATATTTAAGAGCCTTGAATACAAGGCTAAGGAATTTGGGTTCCATCCTGGTGGCACTGACAAGATGATATTAAGGGCTCAGGACTGTTCCCTATGCATGTGCCATCCAAAGTTACAGAGGAATAGGAATTTGGTAATGGGATGTATATCTTCCCATACCTTCCTCTTTCAAGATACCTGGTATGGCCTGCGTGTTTGTGTCCCACCACCAAATTTATGTACTCAAACTCTAATCCATAAATGGGATGATATTAGGAGGTGGGGCCTTTGCAAGGTTTAGATAAGGTCACAAAGGTGAAGCCCCTGTGATGGGATTAGCGTCCTTATAAGAGGAGACTAGAGCCCTTCCGAGTGAGGACACAGTGAGAAGGACACTGTCTACAAGCCAGGGAGTAGGCCCCCACTATTTCAATGGCACCCAGATTTTGGACTTCCCAGCCTCCAGAACCATGAGAAATCGGTTTGTGGTTTAAGCCACCTGGTCTATGGCTTTTTTGTTATAGCAGCTTATGCTGACTAAAACAATTCCTCACCTTATTACTAAAGCTGCGAACATTTCCCCCTTTCAAACCTCCTCCACCTGCTGCTGTGTTTTCATGCTCATTCTATCTTTTTCCTGGATCCATACCAGATATGCATAGGAATCATGTGTCAGGACTTATACTCCAACTCTATAGCCAAGACTTTTAGGACCTTAGTGTAATAGATTGATTTTCTGCAAACTTACCTGCATTTGCACTTTCTTTTTCTTAGAGTTCAAAATAGTATATTATTTGGTCTGGGATTTGGGGTATAGGTGGTGGAAGAGGGGCACAGATTGCGTGCAGACACCATGTCTGCTATAGCAATAAAATCTCAGTGGGAAAACAAGAGAGATCTCAGGGAACTGGAACATATAGGTAAGGAAAACCTTGAAGGATGCACAAAATCAGTGATTTGTAAAAATTTCTCCATCTGGTGGTTTCCTTTATCTAGCCTCACAGAGTTTCAGATAAATTAGACTGCAGAGGGAGACCATGTCATTACAGCAGTAGCAAAGCATCAAGAATAAGGACAGCTGGAGCTTCGTCTCTGCCCAACTATGAGCTAGCCAAATGACTTCGGGCAGTTGATTTCCACTTTCTGCACCTTGGTGTCATCATCTGTTCAAAAATGCGATGGTTCTTCAATAAATGGTGCTGGAAAAATTGGACATCCACATACAGAAGAATGAAACTAATCTCTTGTACCATACACAAAGATAAACTCAAAATGGATGAAAGATCTAAATGTGAGACAAGATTCCATCAAAATCCTAGAGGAGAACACTGGCAACACCCTTCTTGAACTTGGCCACAGTAACTTCTTGCAAAATACACCCATGAAGGCAAGAGAAACAAAAGCAAAAATGAACTATTGGAACTTCATCAAGATAAGAAGCTTCTGCGCAGCCAAAGAAACAGTCAACAAAACTAAAAGACAACCTACAGAATGGGAGAAGATATTTGCAAATGACGTATCAGATAAAGGGCTAGTATCCAAGATCTATAAAGAACTTCTTCAACTCAATAGCAAAGAAACAATCCAATCATGAAATGGGCAAAAGACATGAAGAAATCTCACAGAGGAAGACATAGACATATAGACATGGCCAACAAGCACATGGGAAAATGCTCCGCATCACTGGCCATCAGGGAAATACAAATCAAAACCACAATGAGATCCCACCTCACACCAGTGAGAATGGGGAACATTAATGGGGCAGGAAACAACAAATGTTGGAGAGGATGCGGAGAAAAGGGAACCCTCTTACACTGTTGGTGGGAATGTGAACTGGTGCAGCCACTCTGGAAAACTGTGTGGAGGTTCCTCAAAAAGTTAAAAATAGACCTGCCCTATGACCCAGAAATTGCACTGCTGGGGATTTACCCCAAAGATACAGAAGCAGTGAAACACTGGGACACCTCCACCCCGATGTTTCTAGCAGCAATGTCCACAATAGCCACACTGTGGAAGGGGCCTCGGTGTCCATCGACAGATGAGTGGATAAAGAAGATGTGGTTTATGTGTACAACGGAATATTCCTCAGCCATTAGAAACGACAAATGCCCACCATTTGCTTTGACGTGGACGGAACTGGAGGGTATTATGCTGAGTGAAAGAAGTCAATCGGAAAAGGACAAACCCTATATGGTCTCATTCATTTGGGGAATGTAAAAATTAGTGAAAGGGAATAAAGAGAAATTTTTTTTATCAGTGTAGTTTTTATTGCATTCTTAAGGTATCACAAATAAGTCTGAAAAATCATCTGGCATCTTGCTGTTTCTGTTGCTGGACAACTCAGAGCTTATTCATCAGCCTGCTGAACTGTTCCTTTTTCAGAAACATAGATACCATCCAAAAATTTTCTGATATCCTTGTTTTTAACAGTTGTCGCTTGCTGGATCAAAGCAGCTGAGTTTGAAACAAGTTCAATGTCATTTCCTTCAAGAATTAACTCATCTTTTTGGGCTTGAGATACAGAGAAAATGAGTGAAAATATCAGTGAGGATGACAAAGAATGAGAGACTCCTAACTCTGGGAAATGAACAAGGGGTAGTGGAAGGGGAGGTGGACGGGGGTTGGGGTGACTGGGTGATGGGCACTGAGGGGGGCACTTGGCAGGATGAGCACTGGGTGTTATGCTATATGTTGGCAAACTGAACTCCAATAAAAAAATTAAAACAAAACAAAACATCCAGGGGTTTAGGTACAGTGCAGAGTTTAAAAGAATAACCAGTTAGTTTCCAATTAGAACACTACATTTTGTTCTCTGAAATTATTTTACAGTGTCTGGACAAACAGCATAAACTGAATAAAACATGAGGTCTCATCCAAAAAAAAAAAATGTGATGGTAACAGTGACCTCTAAGCTTATCCATGCTTATATCCTCAGGGGACCACACAGAGCCTAGCAGATAGAAAGTGATCAGTAAATTCATTTTGGTCAGGCTGAATGAAGAATCACATAACCTCTCCAATTCTATTCTCCTGTAATTGTTCAGTTCTATGTCCACCCTCTTACTCAGCAACAGGTTTGAAGAAAAAGTTCATAAATACTAAATAAGGACAGGTCTTGGATACATGTGCTGTGGAACAGAATGGTTTTATTTAGATACTGTTCTCAAGCATAGTTGGAAGATGCAATTGGCCAACAGGGGATGGCGCATAGAGTGGTACACAAGGTCGCATGCTTAGTTGGCAGCGATGGTCTGCTGAATCCAGCTCACGTATTTGCAGACCTTGGTGTAGACACCAGGTTTGCCTTTTTGAGCACAGCCGGCACCCCAGGAGACAACGCCCTGGAGCTCTCCGTTGCAGACCACAGGGCCGCCAGAGTCATCCTGCACAAGAAGAAAGAGACAGTTAAGAACTCTCAACTACGCCAAGATGGGAGAAAAGCTCAAAGTTGTTTCTCCATTACCCTGAGTCCATTTCCCCAGGTTGTTGATTCTCCAGGAAGCACCTTCCCTTCCCCTGGAAATCCAATCCTCATCCTCTGACTGCATCCCTCTCCTTTCTCCTCCCACCTCCAAATGTCTGCTCTTTTCTTAGTTACAGGCATGCAGGGCCAGGAAGGGAGGACTGGTGAGTGCAATGCTGCCCAGCTAGCCCTGCTTTTTTCAGAAAGTTTCCTTCTGCAATATACCTCCTCAGGAGGGCACCTGGGTGTTCTGTTTGCACACCATCTTCTGTTTATCTTTTTACCCTTAACCCTAGCCATTAATATCTCAAAAAGAAAATTTATCACTTATCCCAAACCCTACTTCTAATCCATCCCAGAGACAGCTTTTCAATTTTCTGTGTTTTGGGAAACGGGAACTATGGTGGAAATGCATGAATCTCAGCTAGAAAAAGGAGTACAAAGAAATTAACCTGGCAAGAGTCCTTTCCACCCTCCAGGTAGCCCAAACACATCATGTTGCTGGAGATCTGGCCAGGATATGCATTACGGCAAACGCTGTCAGAAAGGATGGGAGCCTTCAGACACTGCAGGACGTCAGGATAGTTTTCTGTTGGTTGCAAGAGTAAAAGTGGGAGAATAGTACCCACAGCATTCCTGGAGATTTCCTTCCCAATATTCCACCCCCCACCCTGACCCCCAACCCCTTACCCACTCTCTCAGATTGCCAGTAACTTCTATTTTGGAAGAGCAACTTTTACTTGGAAAGTCTTCCAAACAGTTTTAATCAACAAGTTATTCTCTCTGATGCTAGCTAGCATCAGGCACTGCAGATCTCAAATCTAGAGACTATTTCTCAGGCAGGTGTACCCTTTAGGCAGTACCAAATCCCTCAGCCTCTGTTCTGTTCTCCTCCTCAGCTTCTACTTCTTTGCAAATCACTAATCACACTTCAACTGGATATCTGCCATCTTTATCATAGCTCATTTCTGTTGTGTTTTCCAGCAAAGGAATCTTTCTAAGACTCCATATAGCCCCAAACTATCCTCAAGGAACCTTGCCTTGCTTGACAATTTGGACAATTTGGACTTGCTGACCCTCAACATGTCTTTCATTTCTCGGATTTTCAGATTTGGCGCTTTTGTTCCAGGTGACACTTACGCCCGATGCTCTGGGTGTTTCCCCAGCCAGAGATGAGGCACTGGGTACCAGCAGCTGGACAGGATTTTGGCAGAGCGATAGCAGACACTCGAGAGTTGAGGGTGGCAGGAGAGCTCAGTTTAATCAGCATGATGTCGTTATCAATAGTGTTTGCGTTGTATCTGGGGTGGCGGATGATCTTGGCTGCATTGATGAATTGTTCTCCACCCTCAGAGACTGCGATGTTGTACTCTCCCAGACGCACCTGGATTCGGCTGGATTAAAGGATGCACAATTCTGTGAGGACCAGCTTGAGCTTTGCCCCTTTCCCAGTTCACCCCAATCAGGAGCACAAGCGCGAACACCATTCCCTTCAAGTGTTTCCACACATAGGTACCTTTCCATGTAAAATTTCCTCAATGCATCATTCAGTGCCTGGAAGAAATGAGGAGGCTCCTAGAATCTGAATGCTCACCCCTGATGCCTAACTGCGCTGTTTACCCCCTTTGTGCTTTGGCAGGGCTGGGGCATGAGTTGATCTGTGAGGACAAGGATGTGAATGTTGGTGACTTACGACTTGTAGCAGTGAGCCGCGGACACCACCCACTGGGAGTTGATGAGGGAGCCGCCACAGAAGTGGTAGCCAGAGTTCAAGGACACCTGGTAGGGGACAGAATTCCTGGAACAAGTGTAGCCCCCGACGATCTTGTCGTCATCGTCAATGGGGAAAGCAACTGACCAGAAAAAGTTAGAAACAATCTGTTAAACAGATCCATCTTGGAATATCTACTTACCACTGAGGTTTTGCAGATTAACTAGGAAAGATAATGCTTTCCAGTCACACATAATCAGGAGATGATAACATAATTTTTACATAATATTTTCCAAAATCTTATTATTCTATACCTTTAACACATACCCTGCTTGTACTATTCTATGTATCTAATCCTTAATTTATGCCTTAAATTTGATAAATACACTTTTTAATGTATGCACACACACACACACACACACACACACACACACCTCAGAGACTCTCTATGTAGTAAATTCCCTGGACATTGCTATCTAAGGGTATAATCCTTTTTGTACAAAATTTTGCTCAGCAGACATGCAAATGTGTTCAACAAAGCTTTACACTAATCATGCTTATGTTTATTTATGGTGTTTGGCATAGGATAGATAACCCCATAAAGTAAAAGAAAGGGACCTTTTAGAAGCTACCTAAGAATGTTCTAGCCTGGAAGGAATTGGGAGTTTTGGACTTTTGTTCTTTAATTTCTCTTTTTGTTTCTCACCTAAGATTTTCAGGATGTAATTTCATAGAACATTTGTATGGTTTTCCCTTTCCAACCTTTCCCTTTATCTCAATCATCTTTCCAACATTTTTCAATTTATTCAGCATTCTGAAGTCTTCCTACTGATTTATTAAGATTTCTATAGCTTCAAAGTCTATGATTGTATTATAGGCACCCTATTGTTCAAATATTTTAAAGTAATTTTGGAAAAGACATTTCTAGATGTATCTACTAATGTATTGAGTGTATACCCATCCAATTTGGGAAAGTTTAATAGTAAGATTTTTATAAAGTTTGGTCGTACAAAAAAATAGAAATTGTTCTTTCTTTTGATGATTAAATAATAGGGTATTTTACACAGAGAAATTTCATTAGCAAAGATGTTGTAAAATCCAGCCCTTAGGTTTTATTCATGAGAAATAAAGTACCTTCACCTGTTAAGATCCCTGTGACAATGCCCTTTGGTGTAGAAGAGCCTTGGGCTCTGATCCTCATAGCCTCTTCAATGAGCCCAGGACTAGTTACTAGTCCCAATTATAACTCCTGATTATTAACTCCAAATGCTTAGAAAGGTCAAAACAACGTTTCCATAATGTTAACTATCTTTTCCTTTTCTCTCTTCCTCCATAGATTTTACTTTGAAGTTCAGGGCAATTTCTGCCTCTTTATATTTTCTACACTAATTACTCCTGCTCACTATAATCTTTCCCCAACTAGTGAGACTTAATTATGTATAGGCATTTATACAGCAGTAGGTGCCCCCCTTATCTATGGTTTTGGCTACCCTTGGTTAACCAGATCAGGAAAGCAGATGATCCATTTTCTGATGTATCCTCTGAAGTTTATTACTAGCCTAACACTATGTCACAATGCCTATGTCATTCACTTCCCTTCATCTCATCATCCAGGCATTTTATGATCTCACATTATTACAAGAACGGTGAGTACAGGAGCATCTGGGTGGCTCAGTTGGTTAAGTGTCTGCCTTTGGCTTGGGGGCTCAGGTCATGATCCCAGGGTCCTGGGTTCAAGTCCCACATCGGGCTCCTTGCTCATCTGCTTCTCCCTCCTCCTCTGCTCCTCCTCCCTGCTCATGCTCTCTTTCTCTGTCCTTCAAATAAATAAATAAAATCTTTAAAAAGAAAGAAAGATGAGTATAGTACAATAAGATATTTTGAGAGAGAGAAAAGAGCATAGTCACATAACTTTTATTCCAGTATATTGTTTAATTGTTCTATTTTATTATTAGTTTTGTTGTTAATCCTTTGCTATTCCTAATTTATAAATTAAACATACATATATGTATAAGTTATATATAAGTTTCATATATATATATATGAAAAACAATATATATAGGGTTCAGTACTGGCTGTGGCTTCAGGCACCCACTGAGGGCGGAAGTATCCGCCACAGAAAAGATGAGACTACTATATACACTGTTGTTTCAATATTTTAAACTTCTTGAGCCCAGAGATTACTTTCAACATTCACTGTTGTCTTTCAGAGTACAAAGTGCAGATAAGTACATCACGGACACCAACTGATTCACTTATCATAGACTCACCAGTGGCTCCCAGTAGAGCGAGGAAGATAAAGGTCTTCATGGTTGCTCCCTGGATCTGGTCTGGGGTGTGCAGTGAACCTCCTTATTCACAGCTATTTATATCTCCAGGTTTGACATTGACACTCAAGGCCATGAGTGCCAGAAAAATGATTTACTAATCCAAATTTAGAATTCAGTTCTGTCCCAAATTGAAGATAATTCAGCATCAGATTTAAACATTAGCTTTTATCTATTTTTCCAGAAGGTTATGGGAATGGAAGTAATAAACCCACCTGGTGCTATCTGTTCCCAATAATAGAAAAGTAAGTTGGAGTAAAGTCATGGAACAAGGCTACGAGTGTCCTGTTTCCCAGACAAAAATCTTAGGTACTTGGTCATCTCAACTATGAACTTCTATCTTGAGGACCATCTTGAACACTACCCCCTTGAACTTTTTTTTTTTTAAGATTTTATTTATTTATTTATTTATTTATTTATTTATTTATTTATTTATTTACAAAAGACACACAGAGAGAGACAGAGACATAGGCAGAGGGAGAAGGAGGCTCCCTGAAAGGAGCCTGATTCAGGACTCGATCCCAGTACCCAAATCAGAGGCAGATGCTCAACCACTTAGCCACCCAGGGACACTTACCCCCTTGAAGTTTAATTAAAATTAGCTCTCTCACAAATATATAATTTTTCTGTAGTATCTTTGGTCTTATATAACCATGTTAGCATTTCATTATTAACAGGCATAACTTGTTTCCTTGAGAAAAGAAAAATTGTTCTGAATTGAAGCTAGGATCAATCTAGACAGAAGAGTGAAAGAACAACTTACATTTACTAGAAATTACTATATATATTACATATATAAAACTTGGCATGTATCAATTTAGTAATCCTCATTACAACTCTTAGGGGTACCTATTACTATCCCTACTTTACATATGAGAAAATGGAGGCACACAAAATTGCAGGAGACTTGACCAAAAATCACATAGCAAGGACACGACGGGGTCAGGATTCCAGCCCAAGAAATCTGGCGTTAGAGTCTGTGCACTTAACCACTGTACAGCACTTCCCTCAATAAGCTCACCACATTCTGAACACCACACCAATGCGGAAATCTTGGCCAATGACAATACAAGTGAAGTTATGGAGGCCTCCTCTGTGTCAGGCACTGTACATCAATTCAGGTCAATCCTTACCAACTGCTTTATAACTATTATTCTAATTTTTACCATTTTTATAGATGGGGAGGGTGAAGCTTAGAGAAATTACATGCTTTGCTCAACGTTTTATACTCTTCAGTGACCAACACAAGGTTCAGACTTAAGCAGCCTTATTTCAGGGGCTGTGTCCTCCACTGTGGTGCCATAAACATAATTAAGGGGAACAGTCGGAACTCTACAAAATTAAAGGATAACTCTTGGGAACAGATAGAATTCTTGCAAAGATCTAAGAAATGTGTTCCTGACCAGGAGTTGTCATAATTAATGAGGTATGGTAGACGTATCCAGAATAAGTGAATGTCGGGAAGAACTAACGTGTAGCTACATAGAACCAGATTCTACTCCCAAACACCTGACTGTCCAACCAGGATATTACTCCTGCTTTAGCAAATCATCCCTCCTGAAGTAGTTTGCTGCTTTTACATTCAAAATTTTGTTGATAAAAAGATGATTAACTTGAAGGTAGAATTGACACTTGGACCAGGTAATTAATTCTGTGTTGTGGGGAACTGCCCTGCACTCTGTAGGGTATTTATCAGCATCCCGGGCCTTAGTTACAAATGTCACTAGCCCCTCCTCCCACTTGTGACAACCAAAATGTCTGGAGACATTGCTAAATATTCCCTTGGGGGCAAAATCCTTCCCAGCTGGGAACAACTGATCTAAGGAGAAAAGATTAGCAGAGAAGCTTCTAAAGCCATAGCCATGGGAAAGTGTCTTAAATGTTAGGGCATTCATTAACCACCGAATGAATGGCACATAAGGCAGGGGGCTGCCCTTTACTGATTCCTAAAAATCAGGGAAACTGAGGAAAGAACCAGGCCCAGAATGAAGAAGGGAAAGCCTTCCCAACCTGTCCAACTATACTCCATCCTGACTCCTCCCTGATGAGGTGTTAGAAGATGTATGATTCTGTGTCATCCTAGAACTTCCCCTGAGCCTCATCAGAAATCTTAGCCCATACGAAAAACACATCTTAGAGCAAGATTTCCACAATTATTGGCTCATGTGCTGCTGTAAGTTTTAGGGAGCTCTCCCTGGTGAATTCTAGGCTTAATCACTTAGACCCCTTCTTCCTGTGAGGGTCACTAGATAAGGAGAATTATCTAGGGTCAATTACAAATTCCCAAATAGACACCTGCAACAAAGGAACATGGACCCCTCTGGAGGAAGTGTGATGATTCTTCAGTCATATAAGGCAGCAGCCTGAGATATGGGGAAAGATATGGGGAAAATACCAAGTGATAGTTTCTGGACTTCATTTATTTCCAAATAACTCTCCTACATGTTGCGTGGAAACCACTGAAGACGGTGACTATAATGTAACTGATGCTTTGATATTTAAATTGACTTTTTTCCTGAGCCTCTTCTCAAGCAAAGATTTCTCATTGGCTGAATTTTTTCATAGGTGAATTTTTACCTAATGTGCATTAGAATGAACATATGCTATTTAATAATATAGCTCTTTAAATAACAATGGTCGTTTGTGCACTATCTGAAACGAGGTTGAAGACTAGTCGTTTTAGTATATGGTGCCACCAAAGCAAGTTCGTATTGAAAACGGCTGGAGATACACATCCCCTAGTATTAGGCAGAGGGCTGGACAAAATGAGTGGGGAACCCTAAGGATTGCTGATGGTGGGGGCTGTGGTGGCTGCTGAGGTTTGAAAGAGCTATGGAGCAGAGTAGATCTGGATACTTTTTAAAAGATTTTATGTATTTATTCATGAAAGACACACAGAGAGAAGCAGAGCCATAGGCAGAGGGAGAAGCAGGCTCCCCGCGGGGACCCTGACGTAGGACTCGATCCCAGGACCCCGGAATTACGACCTGAGCCAAAGACAGATGTTCAACCACTGAGTCCCCCAGGCATCTGGAGTAGATCTGGGTTTTAAGTAAAAAAGAAACATACACCAAGCGGAAGAGACTAGGAGAACATGTTGAAGAGGCCAGGGGAATATGGGATCAGCATGAGGTGTCTCTGTACGTAAGCATCATGTCCATCATTTAGGTAAAGTGAGTGAACAAACCCGAAGAAGAAAACCCTTGCATGATCCTGTGTGAGCTTGGACCTACAAGATACCTTTTACTTATGAGATACTGTGAATCGTTCTGTGAAGTTGGCCCCTGGAGAATGGGGTTGAAATTTCCCACTTCAAGAGGCATACTTTATGCGTGCAAAACTTCTATCCTCAATAACGTCGAGGAATTCTTATTTATAATCAACATTGGACAGGCCACAGTGTGTGTGGGGGGGAGGAGGAATTCTCCTTTCTCAGTCACATCCGTGAAAAGAGCCATGTACTAGGTGTGGGAATGGCCACATTCCTTTTGCCCAGCAGAGTGAGTTGGTACTGATTCTTCTTTTCCTAACTTCAAACACATGGTGGCCCTGAAGCACGTGTCTATATTTAATGAATCTGTACTTGTCACCTCTCTTTCTCATGCACATGGCTTAGTGGCCTTGGAGGACTATTTAAACTTGTTCCTGAACTGGGAGCTGGTTGGGCTCCAGCAAATATATTGACATTTATATTGGCAGAAGCAAGAGTCAGTGGCCTCTGAAGGCAATTTTATGATCTTTTCTTTAATGGAATGTGTTTTTCTTTTTCCTTAGCTCCTCCAGCGACTTTCCTGGCTAATACAATACTAGTAACTGAGGCCATTACTGGCTTTTTACCATTCCAACAGGAAGAGAAATCTTTAAAGATTTTTTGTTTATTAGATAGAGAGAGAGTGAGAGAGCACATGCAGGGGGAGAGGCAGAGGGAGAGTCAGACTCCCCACTGAATAAGGAGCCTGACATGGGACATGATCCCAGGATCCCAAGATCACAACGTGAATGGAAGACAGATGCTTAACCAACTGAGCCACTCAGGTGTCCAGAAGGGAAATTTTTAAAGAAGAACTCCTCTCTCTGAAAAAAGATATAATAAGTCACTGAGATAAGCAATCAGGGCAGTTGGACTACAAAAAGGAACAAGTTACAAAGTATGTGCTTGTATAATAACCCTGATGCTAGCCTGGCAAGTCTATACTAACCTGAATTCCTAATCATTGCCATTAGGCAGGAAATCAGTGTCGACAAATAAAATGTGCTTTCTTGGTAAACTGAACCCTGGAAACAGGTTTCCTTGACGCTGATGAAGGATGGCATTGGCTTGAGGACATTTCTATTCTAGCTTCACATGATTCTCTCCATAAAATTGTGTGCAGGACTCAGCTAGCTTTTTCTGCAAAAGGCCCACGAGTAAATGTTTCGGGCTCTGCAGGCAAAGCAGCCTCTGTCACAACTGCCCTGCTTTTGCAGCATGAAAGCAGCGCATGCATGTGTGGGGGCAGCTAAGTCCCAGGAAACCTTCATTTGCTAAAACAGGCTGTAGGTCAGATTGTCCTTGACCCTGCTTGAGAACATAAGGAAGGACCTATTTAAATGCCCCATATCCACACTTAACATTTTATGGTGGTTCAGTTGCAATGATCAGGTGTGGTTTGAAATAAAACTAGTAATCTCAAGAGAACTAGCTTATTATGGCCTTTACTTCACATAATGTTTTAGGGAGAAAGTAAGTGGGAGTTTGGGGATTTAGGGCTGGGATGTCGGAATGATAGAGAACAAGGTAGAACAAAAAAGGGAATCATAGAGACAGAAACTTGTACCAAAGCATGAGACACAATAAAATTCTGAGAAAGAACATTTCGATCTAGTAACCAGAGTTCTGACCTTCATTCTGTCGCTAGCTTCTATTTTGGGGGTCTTTGCACATTAATATCCTCATGTATAACATGAACGCCCACAGAAAACCATGGGCAAATAGGAGAAGTC